GCCCGCTTCCATGACAAGCACCCTCCCCACCCCCTGATCACCACACAACACACGCACGCACCGGTGTCTTCATACCTGAACGTCGAGGCTGCGGACGAGAAGGGGCAAGGCTGCTGATCTGCGACTTCGTCAGAGAGGGGAGAGGAATCACGAACACTCACGTTGATCAAAGATCTTCACTGCCGACACGTATTCTTTCAAACGGAGGCTGTTTCAAGTCTGCGCACGCACGTCGTTGCTTGTCCGGCTACGGACATCACATACATCCACAAATCACATCACTTCGCCACCCCACACCGTCATTCTCCCTCATTCTTTCCTCTGTGGATGTTCTCTCTCTGAGCCTCTTTCTCTTGAAGTTCGTGCAGGTGCGATCGACCAAAACAAAATCCATCAACGTGTGGCGCTCACTGCTTCCCATCAATTCACATCAGACAGTACGTTTCTGCACTGTAGAAATCGACGTCTCCCCGAGTCATGCCCCGAGCCCCAGTCAAACGATTGGCTCTGTCTTTACAAGCATTGGGCTGTCATTGGCAGGAGAACGATTCAAGGCCACCCTTTCACCCATTCAGTAAGCGAACAACGTGCGCCACACAGCCAAAAGAAAACCCATCCCCATCCCTCATTACATGCAATCTCTGAGTGAGGAAGGAAGTCCGTCGTCACCCGAGAATCAGCGTCGCCCTCACATCCCGCCTATCAAACGGAAGGAGCGCAAGAACGACAAGGGCAAGGACAAGCTCTCCAAAGGTGACATCATCCTGTCAACAACGATTACTTGCATCCCGCGAGCATCGTTTCATTGTATGGCTTCCACCACTGTGTGTGTTTGCTCAGGCAAGATGAGTGATCTCTTCGGCAAGGCCAAAGATGCTGGGGTGGACGGCGACAAGGTCACCACCTCATTCGCCGCCAAGGGTGCGTCAGCAACATGTGCACGCACACTTTCATGACAGACACAAAGCACTCGCGCCCTCTGTGTATGTGTTTTTATCGCCTCCAGGTGCTATGGAGGTCGAAGCTGTCGGCGACAACAATGACGGCATGCAATCGCCTTTGCCGGCGCCTCCGGCGCCGTTCAATCTGTTGTCCTCATCGAACGACAATGGCGGACTAGGTCAGGCACATGGCACTCATACCATGCGCACACATCACCCATGGATAGCTATGTATCCGCGCAGGTGGTGTGACTGCTGGTTCACCTTCGGGCGGCAACCATGAAGGCGCTGCGGCTGTAGCAGGCTGCTACGCCTTCTCGCATCCAAGAGTGGGTGGAGCTCAACAAGCTCGACATTGAAAAGCAGACGGCCGTGGCTTATCACGCCATCCGCAGCCATTCAGCCATCGTCTTCGAGGAGCGCTTCTTCCACCGCATGTGGATCGGTGCCTACCAGTGGGGCGTCGAGCAACCCATCAAGGACTACGCGACCGTGGTGATCCTCGACGAGCGGCTCAAGGGCCACGAGCTGTGGGAAGGCAAAGAGGCCTTCTGCCGCTGGTTTGCGGTCTTGCTCGACAACAAGTTCAAGAGCTATGAGAACTATCACTACCAGATGGCCGGCGCCAGCCAGCTCAGAGCGAATCAAGCTTATCCGGCCTACCGCGTGCTCGTGTGAGATGGGCTTTTATGCTCACTCTTGGGGCTCTGCAGATCGGTGGCGTACCTCAAGACGGACTGGGGTACAACACACACACATACATACACCACCAGCAGCATCACCGCCACACGCACACTGCGATGGCTGCTGTGTGTGTTGGTCAGGTTTGTCGACCGGCGAAAAGCTCGTCTTCCATACCGACGCATACGTGGTGGACTTCAAGAACGAGGTCTTCCACGCCGACTGGGATCCTCTCAGTGCGGCCTACTATCGCACCATCAAGGACTCCAGTACGCACCAACACACAGCATGCGCACATGCATACTGTCATCATTGTAGTGTCCGTCTGCTTGCGCGTGTGTGTGCAGTCTCGTTCTTCAAGAGCCAACACAACATCACGAACAAGACGCAGCTGACGCTGGCGAGCGAGTACCTCGCTTAGGTGAGCAGCCGCTTCCCCGGGCTCATTCCGTCCAGGCAGGGCAGCAACAAGTTCGCCGCCTTCACGCCACTGCCCGCCGAGTGGATCGAGAAGGAGTTCAAGTCCATCCCTATCGACCATCCAGATCGTAAGCATCCCACCCACCCACGCACATCTGCATGGATGGATGTACATCAAGTCATTCCTCCTTGGTCTAATATGTTTGCAGTGCAAAAGGCCATCCACATTGGGCAGCCTGGCTGTGCGTTCGGAATGGTCAATGATGAGTTTGGTGAGCAGGGGAACAACACGAACGAGGGCCCAGCCATTCACACAATGAGCATGACACAGACACACTCACTGTGTGTGGTCTGTTTCAGAGTCAGC